CCTCCTCCTCCTCCTCCTCCTCCTCCTTCTCTTTTTCTCCTCCTTTTCCTCCTTCTTCATCTTCTTTTACTGCCTGGCATCCCAGATTAAAGTCTTTGATCTGTACAAATGAAGTGACATCCATGTGCTATTTCTTTGCCCCATGGACCATAAAAGCTCCACAAAGCCAAGGCAGTGCCCAGAGAGCAGTACCTGTACTCCTTGGCTGCTCATTTGTTGAGGAATACATTTCTTTTTTGTTGTTATTGTTGATAGCTGTTGAGATGGGGTGGTCACACTGTAACTTTTCTGGCTTTAAAGACTTGGCAATCTTCTTGCCCTAGCCTTCCAACTACTGAGGTTATAAACTGTTAGGTAACATGCTTAGCTTACGGGCACATTTCTTCATGAACACAAAGACATAAGCTATGAGCTCATGAATTAATGCCAGAAAACATTGGTATTTCATACAAGAATGCCACTTTTTTCATTGAAAATAGATTTTTCTCTCATACTATACATACCAACCACATTTTCTTTTCCCTCAACCCCTGCCACTCCCCCTACCTCCCTTCTCCCCCAGATCCACTTCCCCTCCATTTCCTCTTCTGAAAAAGATCAGGCCTCCAAGAGAAAAAGGCCAAGCTGGAAAAAACAATATAAAATAAGACAAGGCAAAAAGCCCTTATATTAAGGCTGGACAAAGCAACCCAATAGGAGAAAAAGAGTCCCCACGCAGGCAAAATAGAGACATACCCACTCCCACTGTTAAGAGTCCCAAAAGAAGACAAAGCTAATAGTGATAACATGCACACAGAGGACCTAGTGCAGAGCCCTTCGGCCCCCATGCTTGCTGCTTCAGTCTCTGTGAGCCCATGTGAGCCTGCTTACATGGGTGACTCGGAGAGCCATGTTCTCCTGGTGTCTTCTATTCCTCTGACTACTGTAGTCTTTCCTCCCCTTGTTCCATGGGGTCCCCGATCTCCAAGGTAAGGGACCCGATGGAGACCTCCAATATAGACTCTCTCTCTCTGAATGAATAATGTCTGAACGTGGGTCTCTGCATCCATCCCCACCAGGTGCCAGAGGAAGCCTCTCTGATGATTAATGAATGTGGAACCAATCAAAGAGTACAACAGAATATCATGAAGAATTATTTCATTGATGTTTTTTTGCTAGTCATGTTTGGATCTACCCTATGTCTCTTGGCTATCCAGGCCCTGATTTCTGGCCATCCAAACAGGGTAGGGCATGGGCTCCCTTTTGTGGCATGGACCTCAAATTAAACCAAACACTGGTTGGCCACTCCCACAAGTTCTATGCCCCCATCACCCCAGCACATCTGGCAGGCAGGACAGATTGTATATGGAGGGTTTTGTGGCTGGGTTGGTGTCCAAGTTTCTCTTTCTAT